CAGCGGGACGGCGGCCAGGCTGCGGGTCAGTGGCTGGACTTGCGTCCCCCGCCCCCTCTGTCGCGCGCGCCCCGCTGCCCGGGGGTGGGGGGTCTCCCCGCGACGGGGTCGGGGCGTGACTCGGGCCTGGTCCCCGGCCGCCAGTGCTGAAGGAGGCGCGGCCCGGGCTCCGGAGCCGGCTGCAAGTCCGGGCCCGCCGCGGCTGGGAGCAGACGGGGACGCGCGGTGACGGGCGACTCTGCCCCTGAGAGCAGGTGGGGGGGGCGCTCTCGGCCTCCTGCTTAGCGAACCTGCGCTCACGTGTCCTGTGGAACGCCCGCGGCGACCCGGGGTGGCACTGCCCATCTCCCAATGAGAAACCCAAGGCGTTCAGTGACATGAGTGGGGACCCACGGGTTGTTAGTGGCGTAAACGGGATTCGAACCCAGGTCGTGGGTGTCAGCACTTAGGCGCCATTCGTGCGGACGTGGAACTTGACGCTGGAAAGGTTCAGGTTCTGTCCAGACCCTTCCATTATGCAGAAAATCCCATTTGCTGAGCTTGTGGGATAATTCAGTGAAAACTGTGTAATTTACTCCTGGCTCGAGTGTTTCTGTCGTGACATGTTGCATTCTGGCCCGAAGTTTAACTCAGAGACCTTTCTCCTGTTCCAACACAGATCTTGACATTAATGTCAGGGTTATTTTAAAATAACCAGTAGCTCTTAGTTACTGCCTGCCTCCTGGGTGCTAGGCACTGTAACAGCAAGTCAATCCTCAGTGACTCCCCTCTTAGTAGCCCCGTTTTGAAGAAACTGAGGCACAGATGTCAGGGCTGGCAGGTGGCAGAGTTGGCTCTGAAGCTAGATGACCTGCCTGAGTCATAGGTGTGACCACTGCACTGTCCAGCCAGTCTGGAGGCCTTGGCTCCAGGGCAGGCGCCAACTCTCTCTGGACTGGAGATCTCAGGCAAGTCGTAGAGCACTCCTGAGCCTTGGTTTACCCCTAATTCAAACAAGGGTGTTAGGCAAAGTGATCACATGGCCTTGCCCTCTGTGGGACCAAGACTTGGTGCTGACTGAGAGCTCCCTGAAGGCTGTGTTGTTGTGCCTACCATTGTCTCTGCAGGCCCACCCGGGGCTGGCACACTGTCAGACCCTGGTGCTTATGCATGTCGACTGAATAAATGAATCAACCGAGGGTGTCCACCAAATGGGCTCCTCCCTGCTGCCCAGCTGTGCCAGGACCCTTGGAAAGGGGGTCAAGGCAGGGGAGATTTGGGGCTGGTCCCACTGAGGTGAGGGCATCTGCATTTGTTCTGTGCTGGATGGGAGAGGATTTCTACTTGTTGGGAGGTGGCTGGGGAGATGGAAAGAACAGGTCCGAGGAGGAGGGTCCCATCTGCCCCTGCCCTGCTGTTGACATTTGGGAAGTCACTAATCTACGTGCACTCACATCTTTATCTGTAAAATGTGTGTGAATGTCACCATGGTAATAGGGGTCAAGGTGAAGATTAAATGGGACAATATATGCAAAGGGCCTGATCATTGTCTGTTTTGATCACCACCTTTTGGAGTCAGTTATATTAGTCAGATGAGTGTGGGGCTGCAGCAAAAGTGAGATCCAGCCTCTCAGAGCCTCAAATGCCAGGCTCGGGGGCATGGACTTCATGCCAAAGGCAGATGGAGCCATAAATGGGTGTGAGCAGAGAGGGAGGTGGTGGGACTCGCCTGTGGGCCCAGACTGCTGGTGGGGGTGAAATGGTCCAGCCCTTTGACCCAGCAACCCAGTTCCCAGAGTACCCACTGCGTGCAAAGACCAGGAATAACCTCGCATTCCTTACTGGGGCTTCTAAATGCACCATGGATCATCTGCACAGTGGAATATGGTGCAGCCTTCAACAAAAAGTGCGGTGGCTCTAAATGTCCTGGTGTCAAGGGCTCCAAGACACATCGTCAGTGAAAGAAGCAAGTGAGGCTCGATGTGACTAGTTTGCCATTTTGGGGATGGGGGGACACAAGTGTTCGTAAATGCACAGACTAGCTCCGGAAGGCACACAGAGTCCCCTGATGGAGGTTGCCTCCAGGGAGGGGACTGGGTGCTGCAGGACCAGGGCAGGGCCGGCTTTACCTTTTACCGTCACCACCTGGGTACCCCCTGAGTTCTGAGCCATTCCCACAAGTTATGATTCAAAACAAAAATTCCATTAAAAAAAATAGGAGTTTGAGCGATGAATTACAAGGCCTGGACCAGGCTGGCCAAGTGGATACAGGAAAGCAGACAGGCCAGGATAGTTGTGGAGCGCTGGATCAAAGTTGTCACTATTTGCCACATTTCCTCTTCCCAGGAAGTGAGAGGAAAGTCCATGGATTCCTTACAGTTTTTCCTTACTCTGGGGTGCCTTGGTGTCTGGAATGGTTTGGCAGGGAAGTGTTTTCTGCATTGTGGCTTATTAAGTAAGGGGATGGGGCACAGATGGGGTCACATTTGCGGAGGGTACCTTGAGAATTGTTACCTTCCCCCTCAGCGTGAACAGCCACAGCTGGGGCATGTGGTGTAGGGGACAGATCTGGGGGCTGGCAGCCAGGAGACCTGGGTACAAAACCTCGCCTGGCCTCTTCCTGCCTGTGTGATTCTGGGCCATCAGTCTACTTCCCTGCACCTCAGTATCCCCATCTACATACAGGGAGTGCCTATGCTAGACAGACTGTGGGGTGGTGGTGATTTCAATGTCTCTGACTATATAAGGCCATTTCTTGCGGTTTTAGTGCCCTCAGAGTTCCTTCTCCCACCTCCAAATGGGACGTGCGACCTGCTCCCCGGGAGCTCCGTCATCCAGATCCACTGCCAGGACCTGGCATCTCTGCCCATGCAGTGCGTCGTGCTGGCCAACCAGGGGGACCCAAAGGAGCCAAAGGCAAGTGCAGTCCCAGGGCCAGGCACAGAGGGCCTCACAGGCTGTGCTGGCGTCATGACAAGAGCGACAACAGCTACACACTTAGCATTTTCTGTGCTCCGAGCTCCGGGCCAGGCTGTCTTGTGCATTGTCTCTTCTAATCCTCTCAACCCTGTGAGGTTGGTATTTTTATCCCCACTTTTCAACAGGGATAAAGTTGAGACACAGAGAACTCAGGGAACTTGCCCAGGATCACACAGTAAGCAACAGAGCAGGATTTGAGCTTAGAGGTTCTAGCTCCTGAACCTAACCACTCCAGGAAGTTTGGGGCTGCTGGTGAAGTGTCTGGGGTATGGGGGGCAGTTCTCACGTGGGCAGTGGCCCTGACCCATTCTCCTTCTGGGAGAGGCAGCTGATGAGGCCTGAGCAGAGGCAACCAGTGGGGACTACAGCTGGAAGAGGACGGGCTCCGGAAGCAGGTGGATGGGCATGGGGACCCCAGCTTCACCACTTCCTGGCTGTGACACCTCGTGCGAGGCATGTTGAATCTGTGAGCCTCCATTCCTTCTTGGTAAAATGGGGATGACACTGCCTACTTTAAAGGAATTTCTGAAGACTAAATGATAACTGTCACCTACCTAAGGGTCTGGTTCATAATAACTGCACAACAAAAGTGTTTGGGTTTTTTTTTCCACCTTCTTGTTCTAAATAGCTCAGGTGAGAGATGACCAGGGTCTACTTAGAAATACCAAAAACAAGCAGTAACTCCGTGTCAGTTAGAATCAGGCTCAGCTGCACAAAACGAAAAACTGCCCAGATAATAGTGGTTTAGACAATAGAAGTTTCTTTCTTATGTGAATGACATCTGAAGGCAGGTGGTTCAGGGCTAGTGCTGAGGTACCCCCATCAGCAGGGCCCCAGGCTCCTACATCTCACTGCTCTGCCATCCTTAGCATGCTGCCTCATGGTCCAACTTAGCTGCTGAGCACCAGCCCTCATGTCTGCATTCCAGCCAGCAGGAAGGAGGCAGGGGTGACAACAGATGCCCTCCCTTTATGAATATGTTCCAGAAGTTGCATACTATACTTCATTTTAATCTTATTGGCCAGAACTTAGTCACATGGACCCACCTTGCTGCAAGAGAGGCTGAGAAATGTATTTGTCCCAGGTGGCTGTGTGTCCATCAAAAAGCCAGGGTTCGATTCCTAATGAAGAAGGGCAGGATGGATACTGGGGAGACGACTGGCAGCAGTGTCTGCCCCAGCCACAGAGAGTATGTGACAAGCTTAACTCGGGCCTTTCCTCTTTTTAGAGCTAGAGCTCAGTCCTAAGCAATGGAAAGCCTCCCCCTTTGCATAGATCTTCCCTGTGTAACCTTCACAACAAGCCAGTCCTACTTTCCAGGCAGAGATGGACTCGGAAAGGACTAATGACTTTCCCAAGGTCACACACGCGGAGGGTGGTGGAGCAGGATCAGGATGGAAGAGAGCTGACTTCAGTAACAGCCAACCAAGAGCTCCTGTGCTCCAGCACCTGCCTCAGAGCTCACACCTACGCATCCTCCCAGCCAGTGAGGTAAGAACTGGTATCTCCACTGTTCGGAAGGGGACACTGGGCACAGAGAGGTGAGGTGATGTGCTCAAGGCTTCACAGCCAGGATATGGAGCTGGGACTTGAATCCACAGTCTGCCTCCCGAATGCATGCTTTGACCACCACCCTGCACGGTCACTCAACATTTTAAGCTCTCCCTTCAGCTCTGGGGCTGCAAACCTGGTTAAAGTTGAGATGAGAAATTAGGCCAGGTGGTGCTATTGGTGTCTAATAATGAAGTACCTCTTATGCAGTGTCTTAGTCTTCTGGGGCTGCCATAATACAATGCTGTAGACTGGGTGGCTTAAACAATAGACATTTTATTTTCTCAGTTTTGGAGGTTGGAAGTTCAAGATCAGGGTGGTCGGACTCTGATGAGTGTTCTTTTCCTGGCTTGCAGACAGCTAGCTGCCTTTTTGCTGTGTCTTTATGTGGCAGAGAGAGAAAGATCCCTCTCTCTCCCTCTTCTTATAAGGCTGCAGTCCTATTTATAGGATTACAGCCTCACCCTGATGACCTCATTTAATCTTAATTACCTCCTAAAGACCCTATCTCCAAATATAGTCACATGAGGGGTTAGGGCTTCAACATATAAATTCTGTGGAGATGCAATCCAGTCCATAACATAGTATTAGTTTATTTCAGAAATAAATGAACTAGAAACCTAATTTAAATCAGGAGCATCATATCTAAAGGTGGGAACCCAACCTTTAACAGTTTAACTTTCTTATGGTGTCTAGAACCATGTGTTGTCTTGTAATAAACATCCTCACTGTTAAAAGAGGGGGACTCCTGCATGCCCTTGACAAAATCATTGTCCGCCTAGAAAAGCCAGCATCTAGACTTTCCTAGGAAAACTATTTGTAAAACCCACAGAGGCCACAAGCCATTTCCTGACCATGATTATAATGATCATCCAAGCGTGGCTCTGGTTCCCAAATGAATGACATGATAATTTGCAAAAACTAAAGTATTTTTCTCTTTGAGACTAGCTCAACGACCTTGTAGATTTGTGTGTATCGGTTTGTACTGAGTTTTTCCCTTCCTGAAAGACAGAGAAAGAGACATGCATTGGGTGTCTGCCGTGCGCTGGGCCCTTGGCACACATTAGCTTGCTCACCCATCGCCACTCTCTGCTGCTTTGCAGGTGGGAGCCGCAGATGTAAAGGGGCTTTCAGAACAAATTGCCAGAGCTGGGGGCAAGCCCAGAGCTGCCGTCCAAGCCCCGGTGCTTTCTGCTACATCCTGCTGCCTCCCAAAAGAGGTTTTCTTTGTAAAATAAAATCCCGTTTATAAAGCCAAATGTCCAAAATTCACTGGCTGTTGCAATTTGAGTGTAGAAGGTCTCTGCTGGTCAAGAATCCTGTTAAAATGGAGTTTTCCCACTGTCTTTATTTTTTTTTAAATTAGTCTTTGTTTGATCAATTTTGTTCTGCCTTCCCTTTTTCTCTCAACTGAGGTACTCAAGTGGGTGGTTTTTCACGTAGTAACACCCCGTACTGAAGATGAGCTCCCTGTCTACGTGGCTCTATTTAGGGCAGAGGAAACTTGGTATAAATCGTACATGAGAAACTCAAGAACAAAAAGCTGCAGAGAAAAATATCCCTGCAGGTTTCCCAAGTCCTTTTGTCTCAGTAACTATGGTTTCTGGGCAAACCAAGAAAACACTCAGGAAGGATTTTTTTTAAATAAAGTAGCTGAAACAAAGGGCCAAAGATGGTCATAAATAAGCACATTTATTTTGACTTTTGATTTATAATATTAGAATATGGAGAATTACACTAAAATAGTATTAAAATATTTCCTCCAATTAAAAAAAATTTTTGTGTGTGCCACAGCTGAGAAGCTGAGCAGAAAAAGAAGAGAAGGTGGCTGCCGTGATCTGGGCAGAGGTGACCTGGCCCATGTCCCACTTGACCCCAGCCAGTTATGGGGTCTCCATCAGCAGGTGCCATGGGTACTGCTGCTTAGTGGCCAAGTGGCATTGTCTTTCTGAATGTCCCCCTGTGGCATGGGATGATAATATTCACTTCAGCTGGGGAACATGAGACACATTCAGGAATGTGTGCATGTGAAAGCCCCTGGTGAACTCAAACTATAGCAATAGTGGTTGTTTTCAGTATTTACTAGATGAAATAGGAACCAGCCTAGGGCCTTGGGAGCTCTCCAGGGTGCTGAAAACATTGTCCTCATCCACTTTCAGACTCCATGGGTCACCATAGTCTATGCATAGGAGTCAGCAAGTGAAAATGTCATTCATTGAGCTGTGCCTAGTGCAGGGCTGTGTGCCTGGTTCAGGGCTGTGTGCCTGGTTCAGGGCTGTGTGCCTGGTGCTGGGCTGGCCTCTGCAGCTCTATCTCGTTAACACACATGCTTGCTGCCCTGGCCCTTTGTCTCTGCCTGGCCTCACCTCCGCCCTCCTGCTCCTTAAGCCCTTGCTGTCTTGACCTGTATGTGGCCTGACCAGCACTGTCCAGCCCCCAGCACATCTGGCCTGCCCGTGGCAGTGCCACCCTGCTGAGCCACTGACTTGCTTTGTACCTCCTGGCCCTGGGAAAGCCAAAATGGGCATGTCTGAGAAGGAGCTCTGAAACCTGGAGGCTAAAACAGTTGAAACAGAGGTGGTTACGGCCACATTTTGATTATTTGCCACCATTTTTGTCACATGTGTGTATTTGGCTCAGGAAAATTTGAAACTGAGCCCTGATACAGGGACATTCAGGCTGTCATTTTGCAATACCATCTCCTGTAATGAATTGTTGCAAATATTTATATCCGATTAGCCTCTTCCATTAGACTGTGAGCCGCCTGAGGGCAAGGCTGTGTCTTTCAGCCCTCTAGCCTCCGAGCATGGCAAGGGGTCCTCAACACAGGATTCAGTCACTGTTGATGAACCAGGAAGTGAAATGGATGGGAGAGTGAGCGGGCAGCTTGGATTTCCCTCCTGAGAGCTGGCTGCAGTGGGAGAGGGTTCTGCATACAATCATAACAGCCTGCACTTACTGAGCACTTACTCAGTGCCTGGCTCTCTTCTCAGAACTGCATGGATATTAATACTGAATCCGCACTGCAATGCACAAGGTAGGGACTATTATGATCCTCATTTTGCAAGTGGGGAAACTGAGGCACGGGTAGTTAATAACTTGCCAAAGCCCACACATCAGGTAAGTGGCAGGAGCTGAGATGGGAACCCAGGCTGAGTGTCAGCCCAGCTCAGATGTCAATCCTCTGCCCCCTACACCCAGCCCCCAGTGCCAAGGCTTGGTCCCATCTCCATGAACGTAGAACTTCAACCTTGGGTTGCTTTCTTGATTTTGCCTGGTGACCATTCTGCAGCTTGGACAGGAGGGAAGGTCCTGGCTCCTACATCTGCTGGGTAGTGCTGGGGCAGTCATTGCATCTCTCCATGCCTCAGTTTCCTCAACTTCAGAGGGATGATCATCCCCACCCTGCATAGGTCCTAGGAGAGTAAAGCTATCTGTGGGGAGCACAGAGAGGATGCTGTTGGTGTACTGTCATTATTGTGGCATATGTGATTCAAGCATGGCAAGTCATTATACACACTCTTGAGGTTTTCCTTTGTGATATTTCTTTTGCAGAAGAAGAAAGGGGGCTGGCCCAAAGGAAAGAAAAGGAAACCCCCAAGGGATCTTTCTGTTCCCCGTGCACCTACGACAGGGTAAGATGTGGGGAATGTTGAAACAACATTCAGGGCTCCCCAGGTGGCCTGTGCAATGTGCCTGGGATGGCCACAATCTTATCTCAGCTTTTATCTGTCGTTAGGGGTGGCCTCATACTGCAGGGAGCTTGGGGTAGGCTGTTTAGTTCTTCAAGCTCTAATATGGTTCTGTTGCTGGAAGGGAGAGTACAAAAGAGCTGAGCTTGGGTCACCGACAGGAAAGGGGGTAGGTTTGGGGTCAGCAGGTCTGGTTTCCACCTCCATGCTTGAAGATGTGGCTGCTCTGTGGCCTTGGATAAGCCGGTTAACTTTCATGGAGGCTCACGCTCCCCTTCCCAGAGTCCTGTGACCTTGTCCCTTTCCCCCTGCATCTTGTGCTGCAGGACAGAGGTCCCATGCCAGACACTGACCACTGCTCTCAAGGTCACCTTGCTCCCTCTGGAAGCTTGAACACTATTCTCTTTATCCTCAAGGTTCACACAGTTCTAAATTGAGGGTCTTTTTTGAGTATTCCTATAACTCACATGGATGGGCCTTTCGGTCTGAAGACTGCTGTGGCCCCAGCCTTTCTTCCTCTCCCCCAAAATGAATCCTTCCTGGTCAGGAGGATCGGAGGGCCTGTACCTAGAGCATTAGGCCACACAGCAACCCTGTGAGCAGGTACATATGTCCATTATACAGAGGGGGAAACTGAGGCTCAGATGGGGTAAGTAACTTGCCCACAGAACACAGCACGGGGATTTGAATGTGTCCTCTGCCACCAGCCACCCACTCTTCCTACACCTCCTGCCCCATGGGGAGTCCCTTTTCTGGATCTTTGGCCTTTCATCAGACTCTAGATAAACCAGCTATTCAAGTATTTTCCCCTCTTAAATTAACCTCCATTTCACTGGTTAGATTGAAAAATCTGGGCAACCTGTACTCTCTATGTTTATGAAAACCAGAAAGTAGCTTCTCCCATCCTGGCTGACCCCGTTCCTCGCCAGTGGCTCAGAGCTGTTGTGTGTTCCTTTCATGGCACAGGTACGTGATATTCCTAAACGAGCAGAGAAGCCAGCTGAGGGCCAGACACCCTGATCTGCCTTTTACAGAAATAACAAAGATGTTGGCTGCTCAGTGGTCCCGGCTGCCTCAAGAGAAGAAGCAAGTAAGTCCTTTTCTATGTGGAATAAGGAGAGAGGCCCTCCCTGAGAAGTGACCCAGCAGCCTGCAGCCTTGATGATGGACTAGGGACTGTGCCCTCCCCCTGGAGCCAGAGGGAACTTTCTGGATGCAGACATGAGGTGCCTCATACCCCACCCCTTAAAAGCAATGCCTGGTTCCCCTTGCTTTTAGCAGCATCTTCTCCTAAACTGGTTTGGGCAGAATGGCTAATCCATGAAACATGCATGAGCTGTCAAGTAAGTTTAGGAAGTTCCAGAACAAATCAAGGTAACGAGATTGTTCCCTCTGAAGGATTTTTGGCACGTTTCATACAGTTTTGTTCACTTACAAAATATTTGTTGAGCACCTGCTGTGTGCCTGACACTGTTTAGGTGCTGGGGACACAGCCCGAGAGCCAGATAGACAAGGTCCCTGCTGTCCCAGAGTGAGGCTGTGGGTGGAGAGACAGAGCAGAACACACCAGCGGGCACAAGCGTCTCAGTGTGAGCACTAGTGTGCAGTGTTTCTCAAACTAATTCTATCAAGGAACCCCTTTTTCACAGAGCGCCTGTTAACCTCCCACAGAAGTATGTACTGGGGCCACAGGAGAGGAAATACTAACTTATGGGACACAGCCAATGCCCCCTTAGCATGAAATACATGTCACTGTCTTATGTCACTTCCACCACCCCCCCCAACATGCCTTCCAACTACACTGAACAAACGTGTCATTTTCTGATCAAGCCACACCTGATCCCGTGTCACCTCCTACAAGAAGCCCTCCCATACCCCTTCTAAGTGCTCGTATGTCTGTTCCCAAAGCCCGTACTTTTTCCAGAGCAGCACCCGGCCTCCAGAGTGTCATTTTTGGAGGTCAAATGCAAAGACCCCAAGATGAACTTGTTTAAATCTCTGCAATTTCAGCTTGTTTGTGTCATAGAAAAAACTCTTGATTCAAATGAACTATTACTGAGAAATCCTAACAGGGGTTGGGGGATGTCAATAATACCTCTCTTCTTCCCACCCAGGTTGGCGATCAATTGGGAACTAGTCAGTAGCCAGACAGAGATTAAAATGTCAGCTTTATTCACAAAAACCTTGGTGGAGGGTGTCTTTGGATCAGTGGCACCAACTACTTGCAGATCTGGACACTCCTGGCCATCCTGGTCAGGGCAGGCCCCTTGCTGTGTGGTCAAGAGCAGGCCAGAGCCCTCACCCCCTGCCAGCCAGCAGATCCCAGGGGAGAAGAAAGAGGGAAGAGCTCCCAAATTTACTACCCAGATGAGCCCCTTCTCCCACCATGGAGGGGAACCTGGTGCAGGCTAGGAAAGTTAAGCTGATGGAGATCCCCCCATATGGAAGAAAATGTCACAAGTGGGGATGAAGTGGCCCCCACAACCCACATACACATGAACACACACATGCCCAGGAGGGCACACACACAAACACGTGAAACAGACCAAAGCAAAGCTGCTGTGGTTAAAACTGGGTGAGGACAGTTAGGGCTAGTCCCCACCTGCTACAGTGATTTAGCTCCTAACATTCCAGTCTGACTGGCAGAGACACAATTACAACTGGTTTTGCAAATACGCTTGGTGATTGCAAAGCACAGGGCAGCTCTTGTGAAATGAGAGGCAGAGCCTCCAATCTGAAGTTTTAGGGAGGCTTTGTGCTGTTTTCACAATTTCAGAAATCCTTCACCCCCCTCCTTTCCCCAGCTACCATGCCTGGGGAAAGCCCAGTTTTAAAAGCTCTGCTTTTTAAAAATCAGCTGACCTTTTGGTTGGACTCAAGTCCCTGCAGGAATGGGCCAGAGGCCAGGTGGGAGGAGGATTTAGAAGCCTGAAAGAGGCTGTCTGAAGGACTGTGTGCACCCTGGTTTACCAGGACAAACCCGACACATCAGTGCTTTAAAAAAAATTTATTTGATAATATGATTTATATTAAATTGCCAGGTGCACAAAGTAACTGCTGCAACTGTTAAGTTAGCCAACCAGCATTCTGAGGGAGAATGCTTACCTCCACCCATGGTTGTCCCTGGGTTTACCGACAGCCAGCCATGAGGGTCAAAAACACCAGCTCTGTACAGCCCCTGCCCTCAAGGAGCTCAGAGTCTAGGGGGTCGGGATCCCCAAGTGGACACGTGCAATCCAGGGTGGGGGTACCTGGAACAAAGGTCTATACCAGGGGTTGGGGGATACCAGGAGGTGCCTGACCCAGCCTGAGGGCATCAAAGAAAGATGCTGGGAGGAGGTGACTGATCTGTGATGGGTCTTGACAGATGGGTAGAATTGGGCCAGGGCAGGAAAGGTGACATGGGTGTCAGTGGTGGAGGGGAGACGGTGTGGATGGGGTAGCTTAGGGAACATCCCAAGGCTTGGGGCTGAGTCTAGTTCGTCTCTTTATCACCAGTGCCCAGCCCAGGACCTTGCACAGGGTAAAGTGCTGATATTTGCACAAGCGATAATTGAATAGAAGCCTAATGTCCCTGGAGAGGGAGCTGATAGTGCTACCCTTCCCTGCTATCATCAGACCACACCCGGCAGGATGGCGGAAGCCATGGGGAGGCAGACTCTAGCTGATCGGAAGGAAAACCTTCTGCAGTGTCAGTGTCATTCAAACAAGGAATGAATTTGCTGGGAAGTGGTGAGGTCCCCGTCCCTGGAGGCATGCAAGCAGATGCTGAGCAGTAGCTTCTTAGGACCATCCTAAAGAGCCCCAGGGAGGTTGGACAAGAGGACTCCCAGTTCCTCCAGACCAGGAGAGCCTCAAACTCTGTGCTTCTTCCAGAGGTACATTTACCAGGCAGACGAGGACAAGCAGCGCTACATCCGCGAGCTGCAGGCCTACCAGAGCTCCGAGGCGTACCGAGCCTTCCTGCGGAGGCAGGCGGCCCACAAGGCACTGTGCGGTGAGTGGGGCCCGGGGCTCTGGGATATTTACACAGCAGAAAGTGTGCTTGGAAAGCTCACCCCTGTCAGCGTTCACTCCACTTGCCTTCGACTGAAAGGCTCCATCCTCCCTGTCCTAAGCAGCATTAAGACCCATCCTGAACCCATTAAAGATAAGAGGCATCCCTTTCCCTCCTGCTCAGGGGGCCCAGAGGACAGTCAGGCAGGGCCAGGCTGGGCTGCTGGTTACTTCTTAGCACTTAGGAAAGGCAAAGGAACCTGCAGTCAGGGAACAGCCGCATCTCCAACACCTATGTGCGCATGATCGCCAGGGGCTTGTTAACATGCACATTCTGATCCAGCGGGTCCGGGTGGGGCCTGGGCATCTACGTCTCTGAAACGCCCCTGGGCTGCCGCCGCTGCAGGTCCAGGGACCACCTCTGATGATGCTACGGGTCCAGTCCCAGCAGCACTCACCACCCCACATGTGAACAGCACCCCCTGCAGTCCCAGCGTCACTGCCTGAATCCTCTTCTCAGCCTGCAAGGCCACCAGGGATGGGAATTGGAGGATAAATACCCCCACCCCCAAGGGGCCCTGTGGTCTGTAATGGCGCCTGCCCAGCAACCTGTCTTCCCCTTCCCCTCCCAGTGCTTCCTGGGATCAATACCCAAACTGACCATTTCCACCAAAATCCTTGCCTCGGGGTCCAGTTCTGGGGGGTACCAGCCTCAGGCAGAGAAAGGAGCCCTGTTATTGAGTGTCTGCTTACCACACCTTCGCCACGCGGGGCACTTTCCATCCACTTCTCTTTTTTGTTTCTATTGGAAGTCTTACAGATCACAGTGCCCACCAGGGGCATGTTTTGCATCCAGACTGACAGTGCTGCCACCACCCATTTGTGGTACCTGTCAAGTGGTCCTCATTGGGGAGTCTGGGAGCCAGTCTGGCCACACAGGAGACCACCTGGTGCAAGGAGTTGGGCTCTTTGTCAATGGAGCAGGGTCCAGCCACTGTCCAGACTATCTGTCCTCCACATTGCCACCTGTCTGGCTGAGCTCCAGGCAAAGCATGCGCCAGGGGCTGGGCCATCTACGTGACTCCAGCACCAGCGGCTTGCGTCCTATGCTCCCGTCTGCGACTGGCTGAGAGAGCTGCCTCCCAAGTGGTCAGGGTATAGGCTTGGGAGTTCAAAACCTGGCTCTGCCACTTACCAGCCCTGTGGCCTTGTGCAAATCACTAAGCACTCTGCTTCAGTTTCCTCATCTGAAAAAAGGGGCTTGTAATCGGACCTTCTGCTCAGAGCTTGGTGTGGATTACTGAGTTAAACCATAGAAAGGCTGGTACTCAGTGCCTGGCACATGGCGAGCATTCAGTAAGTGTTCATGGCCCACCACCCTAGCTCCATCCGGTCAGCAAACTTTTTCTGTAAAGGGATAGATAAGAACATATTGTAAGCTTTGTGGGCCACGTGGTCTCTGTCACGACCGTTTGACCGAGTGGTTGTAGAAGCAAAGCAGCCATAGACAATATGTGGACAAAGGTGCATGGCTGTATGCCAATAAAACTTTATTTACAAAAACATGCAGAGGGCACTGTTGATCCACAGGCACCTTCACTCTGGCCCATTATACTTATTGGATTTCCACCTAACATTTGCTTTCAGTCTATTGGAAAAGCACTGGCCTAGCATATAAGAATTAGCAGGTGCACTCAACCCACCAAGTGTGGTGGGTCTCTGACGGTTCCTAGGGAGCTGCAGGGCTTCTGGTCCTCATCATAAATGTCAGGTCTATTGGTTTCAGAGCTAAGTGGAGCCTGCTCTGAGACCTCTGGCCACCTGGGACTGGCTGAGAGAGTTGCCCCTAAGTGGTCAGGGTGTGGGTTTGTGGGTACAAGAGCAGCAGGACTCCCCTGGGGCCTCTGGGAGCTGCTGTCATTTCCTGCTCATGTTTTTCCCCCTAAAAATGCCATTTTGTCAGAGTATAGCAGAGAAAAACTTATCTGGCTTCATTCCCTGTGGCCCTCCTTATTTTTGTGATTGTAAGTTGTCATTACGTGGAAACCTGGCATGTTACAAGGAAAGGCCACCACTCCAACACAGCTTGGTTTATAAACAAACAAAATCTGTTACTGCCTTATTTAGAACATAGTAATTTTTTAAAGAATGCTATATCAAAATGTCACCTCTCCCCCAGGGTGATGGAGATGCAAAGGATCACTCAAAACTCATTTCTTCTGAGCAGTGAGAAGCCCCAAAGGGGTTAATTTTCCAGAAACCCTCAAGAGAGAGACATTCCTTCTTGGAAAAATAACACCAGATTGGGGTCTTCCACCAGTATTTATTTTCCAGGGCAGGAGGTTACAGAAAAGAAACAGGTGGTTACAAAAAGAACAGTAAGATAATTACCATGGCAACACTCATTAATTTGTAAAAAGTTAAGTTGATCCACCAACAAAAGCTTGTTCTTAGCAAACACTTTCTTTTCCTACAGCAATTTCCTCAGTATATTTACATAACAGTCAAGTAACTTTCTCAACACACTGATCAGTAGGTTAACCTGCACCAAGGACATCTGCCCTTGGAGCCAGCAATTTTGCTGTGTTACAATTCTATATCCACAACAGAGACTTTAGCCTGGGGAAAGTTTCCTGTCTTTCATAAGTTTAACATTTCTACGTGTAATTTTAAAAAGGTAGGCTAAACCTGAAACTACGGGGCTTTGGAAGCTAGGCCCTGTGAAATACATTTGCTGTATAAGTGTTAGTACACTCCACATCAAAATATAATAGTAATTATAATACAGTCATGCATCACTTAACAGTGAGGACACATTCTGAGAGATACGTCTTTAGGTGATTTCATCTGGTGTGAAAGTGTGTTATGAAAGTGAACAACAGTGAAGTTTCCTGTTATCTACACCAGCCACTAGTTGAGAAAGAGATGGGCACGCTTCTCAGTTGCTCTCCTTTTAAAGCCATCAGGACCACGCCCATGACCACCATTAAACTACTAGTGGATTAATACGTTCACTAGGGTATGGTCCTCATCATCTAATCACCTCTTCAAGGCCCCACCTTTCGATTGCTGTAACAGGATTTCCTACCCTCTTAACTCTGTCACAGTGGGGTTTAAGTTTCTAATACATGGAACTTTGGCAGACGCAATTCAATCTGTGGCAGGGAGGATCACCCTGTGGGTAAGCTAGGGACTCCTCAGCATATTTGCAGTAGGTTTGTTTATGCCAACAGCCCCACAAACTTGTGAGTTATGCATTGTACTACTCTGTGAAGACAGCTATGACTCCACTAGGTGATAGGAATTTCTGAGCTCCATTATAATCTCATGGGAAGGGTCTGGGGGGCCCCATAGCTGGCCTCAACCCACCCCATACTCTTACCAGGTTCTCGACTCCACCGCAGGAAAGAATTCAAGGGCAGAGTCACAGCAGAAAGTGAGAACAGGTTTAATGTAACAGATAAGAAATACAGGTTCCACGGAGAGAGTGCGGCATAGCTCCAGAGACTGGGCAGGACCCACACCAAGTTTAATACGAAAGTGAGAAATACACACTTAAAGTTCAATACGAAGTGCAGGCTGGCTCAAGAGTGAGCAGCCACTCACTGAAAGAAAGTTTGATACAAAAAGAAAGAAATACACACCTCACAGTACAGGCTGGCTTTAGGAGAGTGAACAGCAGCCCCACCTTCTGCGGGGATTCGGCTTTTACAGTTTTGCTGTCTAATACATATTCATGCTATCTAATGAATATTCAATTGGGGGGATGGTTCCCAGTTATGTAACATAGTCTTGCACATTCTCAGTTGGTTTCTTTCTGGAGCACGTTCATTGTTCAAATTCTATCACATGTACTGAACATATTCAAGAATATTCTGTGTTCTTTAGCACTTCTAGCAGAAACTTGTTCAGCTACCAGGGTTATACACCCCTTCTCTACTGAGCATGCCCAGCCACTGGATTTGCATAAGCCAACCCCTTGTGGTCAATTCATAAGCACCTGGCCAGGTATGGAATGAAGATTAGAGAGAAACAAAGAAAAATGAAATCGGTTCATTTTTTAGCATGGCGGATTTTAGACGGTATTTCCTGTGTTGGTGCTGAAAATAGGTTCTGGCTGGCACCAGTAACTTTCCTCTAGGGGAGGGCCTAGGGGAGGGGCCTGAGACCTGGGGGAGTGGCTGGAAACCCAGAGGAGTGTCCCGAGACCCCAACCTAGGGAAACTGAACACCTCCTGTCTCAGGACCACCGTTGCATATGCGATCCATCATTGACTGAAACATCCATATGTGGTGTGTGACTACAGGCATTTTTTAAAAAATATCGCCTAAAATCTGCCATGCTGAAAAATCAACTGATTTCATTTTTCTTTGTTTCTCTCTAATCTTCATTCCACACCTGGTCAGGTGCTTATTATAAATTAACATCAAATGTGCCTGGTGTTTCCTTGTGGTTTATTGGGATTTTCAGGCTTCAGTTGAAATTGAACAGCTGAAATCGAGCATTGATCTGGCAGCAGGTGGCACGGGACTTCTTAAGATAATATTTGCAGACAAAGAAGGCACTTCTGACCCTCTAATCAATGCCCCCCAAATGAGGCTGAGCCCTTTTCTGAGACAAACTCTTTAAAATGATGTCCTTTGTTTCTTTTTCCATCAGGAACAGGAACCCCAGGTAATGAATTTGAGAGTGAGGGCCTCGACTTCTCAGCAATTGATGTAAGTTTTTTGGGGGGGGGAAATCACCCTCATTTGGTGTGGACAGCTGTAGAATCATCCCTCCCAAGACAGCCACGTCCCAATCCCCAGAACCTAGAATGGTACCTTATATGGCAAAAAAAATGGGGGGTTGGGTATCTGAGGATATGATTAAGTTAGAGATCTTGAGATGGGGGCATAACGCAGTCACAAGTGCCTTTATAAGAGGGAGGCAGAGGGAGATTTAACACAGAAGCAGCCCATGTGACCACAGAGGCAGAAATTGGAGCGACACAGCCACTAGCCGAGGACTGCCAGCAGCCACCAGAGAGGCTGGCTACAGTCAACAATGCTGCTGTGTACATTTCTGTACAAGTGTTTGACATCTGTTCTGAATTCTTTTGAGTTTATTCTTAGTGGAATTGCTGGGTCGTATGGTAATTCTGTTTAACTTTATGAGAAACTGCCAGACTTTTCCACAGCACCTGCACGTTTAACATTCCCACCAGCAATGCACAAGGGCTCCTATTTCGTCACATCCTTGCCAACACTTGGTATTCTCATTTCTATTATTACAGCCATCCTTTTAGTATATAAAGTGGTATCTGAATGAGATTTGCTCCTTCTGATATTCCTGGCAAAGTGTCTGATGCCTGTCTGTAATTACTGAATGAATTAACACAATTTTAAAACTGTAAATCAACATCCAGACCTCACTCAGGGTGTCCACTGCGTATGTCTCAGAAAAAGTGGAAAAGGATGATTTATCACCAGATTATATATCCCCTCAGAAAGCCACAAGTGGGCCTTGGTGTTTGCTGGGTTTGAGGCAGATGGGAAGGAAGACTGTAGGTCTCTGTGACAAGATCCCTGTCTTACTAAGGTTTAGGATTTTTATTTTTAAAAAGCATTACAAGCAATGATGGTTGCATGACATATTGTGAATGTACTTAATGTACACTTAAAATGGTAAATTTCATGTTATGTATATTTTATAGAATCAGGGGGAAAAGTATTGCAAATGGAATTTGTAGGGGGGAAATTGTAAAGCTACATGACTATGCCAGTTGTTGGGATGAGGCAATAGATATACTAATTGTATGGCTAGGTATTGGGAAAATATAGGAAAATGGTCAGGGCCCCTCAGATGTTCAGAATCTTGCCGGGCATTTGATATAAATATGTACGTGTGCCCAGGTGTCCCTTGGCTACTGACTAATTGCTCATGTGCACCCAGGAGTCTTAGGTTATGACTTAAGTATAAAGGACGAGGGGCTCTGAGCCACGGGGCCCCCTGACCCTGGAATGACCTCAGGGGGGGTCCTGCAGGGGGACCACTGCCACCACCACCACCACCACCGCTGCTGCTGAGGACTGAGCTCATGTCATCTGCAAGTGGCTCCTGAGATCTTTCCCAATTACCTAGAGCTTGTGGACCTGCATGTGAGGGGTCTGTGGCCCAGTCTGTGCAATGGGTTTGAAGGGTCTGAGCCCTAGACCTGGCACTACAAATGGAATTAGTGCCACTAATATAATGAAACGTTTGGCTTCAGTTATGAAATGCGTAGCCATACAATTGGCATAGCTATTAGTGTGACCTGACACAGAGCTCCTCTCTGACATGGCAGGGGGTTCCTGAGAAACAGAGCATTGTTGGTAGCTAAGCCTATGTTCAGAGAAGGCCAGATCCCCTGCGCTTTCTCCCTGCTCACCGGAAACCATCTCCACCCTCAGGGAGATGGAAACAGCGACCTGTACTGTGGGACGTGCAGGCAGTTCTTCAGCTCCCTGCACAACAAGAAGGAGCACCTGCTGGGGAAGCAGCACCTGCAAAACCTCACAGGTAACAGCCACAGGCTGCTCAGCCTGGCAGATGCTCCACCGGAGCTGCGAGCAGGCCACCGACAGCCGCTGGATGCCTCCTTGTTGTTTAAATTAATTTTAAGACAGGATCTAATCAAACTCGCTTAATGCCAGGTGAGAGTTTGGGAGGAGGGCAGGTCTTCCTGGGATGCCACCTCAGTTTGCCTCTTACCCCCCAGGTCCTGAACTGTTCCCAGAGCATGCCAAGCTTGTGCCCCCCTCGGGGCCTGCATACCACACTCCACCTGCTGCACTGTGTGTCCGTGTCACTGCAGGGCTCTCCCTACCCTCTTATCCAGGTCTTTGCTTAACTGTCCCCTGCCCAGGGAAGCCATCCCTGGTTGCCCCGTGCACAGTTGCAAACCTCCAGCCCTTGCCCTTCACTGTATTCTTACCCTGCTGCATTAGTCCATTTCTGTTGCTTACAACAAAATACCCAGAACTAGGTGATTTATAAGAAAATGAAATTTATTGCTTACAGTTTCGGAGGCTGGGGTGTCCAAAGTCCAGGGAACACAGCTGGTGAGAGTTTCCTTTGGTTTTACAGCAATGCAAGGGTCTCACATGGCGGAAAATGGCAGAGCAGAGAAAGAGACTCTCGTTCACTCTCCTTTCGAAGCCCTCAGAACCACATGCTTGACCTCCATTAGGAATCCATTCACTACCGCACCATCCTACAATCTAATCACCTTTCCAAGGCCCCACCTTTCAATTACCATAACAGGATTTCCCACCCTCTTCTGCACTGTCACAGTGGAGACTAAGTTTGGGGGGACATTCAACCCAAGGCACCTGCATTATCTCCTTCATTATCCCATCACCTTCCAACAGCCACCTTAATGTGCTCACTTGTGTCGTTATTCTCAGTTATCTCCCACTGGAATACAAGTCCGAGTTCAGGGCCTTTTTCCCTGTTTTATTCACTGCCGTATACCCACAACTGGCACTCACAGAGGTGCTCAATAAGTATTTGCTGAGCGAATGAATGAATGTGTCCAACAAATAACTCTCGAGAACTTATTCCTTCCCAGGCATCGAGCCAGGTGCTAGGGACACAGAAAGAATGAGACAGGGTTCTGTCCTAAAGAAACTCAAGGGTCAAGCAGGTGGATTAATACAAACATCCTCGCATTAAAATGTGTTGCATTCTAGTGAAGTGGGCACCACCACAGTTAAACTGCGTACAGTTGCTGATGTGCTTTGGGGCTAGAAAAGACCCTCTAGGGATGAAAACAGTTGTGGGGTTTCTGAACTAAGGGGGAACTTTTTTTCTTTTTTTCACATACCCTTAATATTGTTCAAACAGAAATAGGTCTGGCCTAAGCCCCTACTCTGCACCCAGCTTGCTGGGCAAGTTGCTTAACCTCTCTGAGTTTCCCTCACCTCATCTGTAAAATAATCATGAAACTGCCCCCACGGGGCTCTTCTGAGGACATGTTACATTTCTGTCTGTGTAAGGAGATGCAAAAAAGCATTACTCAAAGCAACACGAATGCAGTGAGAAGCCTGAAGGGACTGTACCTCAGCAACTCCTCTGTTAGAAGGAGAAAACTGGGTACAGCCCCAATTCAAAGTTAGCTTCTATTTTTTGTTGTAAAGACAACGAAGTTTCACAAGAAAATTCAGTTGATTCAATCATTTCAAAAAGACACACAGACATGGGCAATGCGACAAAAGTTATCTTATGGCTAAGTATAGCTTAAACAATGGAAACTAGTAACATCAGTAAAATTAACAACGTGACATCTAAAGTACAATTTGTGAAAAACTAAGTTGGTCAAACTGTAATCATTATCTAAAATATAACCTCTCCTTAAATGATTTAAGCAAAAGTTACATTCTTATGATTAAATCTAAGTATAACTGTCTCTGTAGTTTCCACCAACAGACAGCTTGCCCTTAGCAAACATTTTTTCACATTTTTCCCTACAGAAACTCTTTTTTTTTTTTTCCTTTTTGTCTTTTTTCGTGACCGGTAACGGGATCACAACCCTCAGTGTCGCGCCCGTACCGCGACCAGCAACGGGATCGCAACCCTCGGTGTCGCGCCCGCACCACGCTCAACCAGTGAGCAGGCCGGTCTCCATATGGGATCTGAACCCTCGGCGGGAGGGCTGCCGCGCTCCCAAGCGCCGCACTCTACCGAGTGCACCACCGGGCCAGCCCCAGAAACTCTTTAAAATCTTTTAACAGTATTGGTATGTCAACCACCTCTGTTAGCTCTAAAATCGTTAAAGTATACAATCCCATACTTGAACAGTGATTAGAATTGATTAGATGGGCTATTGCCAGGCTAGCTCTGGACTTTTGCCCCTTAACCAAGGGCTTTTGCCCTGTACATGCATTACCTACAACCCTATTCTAAAAATCAACTGAGAATCCAGATTTCTAACCCTCTACAAGGCAGGGCCATGCTTCATGTAGGGCCTGGTGCAGCCAAGAGGTCACATCCTCCGGGAAGCTTTTCCTGACCCAGACTTGGGGTGGGGGCTCCTCAGGGCTCCTGAGGCTTCCATACAAGCCCTTTGCTTTATAATTATAATCCCGTTACCGTTACCATCACCCTGCAACACACACACTACACACACACCCAACACACACACACACACACACACCTCATTCTACACACTCATATGCACATATGCACACACACTGCACACACACATACACACACACGTACACACATGCTACACACATACAAATGTGCACACATCCCACACTACACACTCATATGTGCACATTCACACACACATGCGCATGCACACGCACCTCATTCTACACACTCATATGCACATATGCACACACTGCACACACACATACACACACACGTACACACACGCTACACACATACAAATGTGCACACATCCCACACTACACACTCATATGCACATATGCACACACTGCACACACACATACACACACACGTACACACACGCTACACACATACAAATGTGCACACATCCCACACTACACACTCATATGTGCACATGCACACACATACACTACACACACGCATGCACACGCACCTCACATACAAATGTGCACACACCCCCATACTATACACTCATGTGCACATGCACACACACACCCCACACTACGCATACATATGTGCACATGTGCACACACATACACGACACGCACACCCCACATTACACTCATATGCTCGTGTGCACATACACGACACATGCACACACACCGCATACTATATGCTCATATGTGCACGTGCACACACACCCCACACTACACACGCATGCACACACATACACCACGCATACATATACGCCCATGCACACACACTAAACACGCACACATGCACACACATATACACTACACATGTACACATGCACACACGGACACAGTCTGGAGAGCAGGTGCTGTTTGTGGTTCACTTGCCCATAATAGATGATAAATATTTACTGAAGGAAAGAAAGTACAGGAGGTTCACGTTATGTCTGGTGTTCGAGATGAAATAAATCGTTTTTGCTAACATCTTGTTTAAGGTGAGTAATTGTGACAAAGACTAAACGCATCTCGTTACGTGCTGTTGAGGACAGCGTTTGTGCTCCGGATGCACAGCATCCTACCATGTAAATTACCCACTGGAGAGAACAAGGCTTATTTCAAAATCCATAAAATCCTGTGCTGGGCTGTGAGAAGTTGTAGGTACATGTGGCTGTGATCCAGCGTAACTCTCTGAGGGCCTTTACAAGTATTTAAGAGGAAACACGTTGACAAACCTCACTTCATCTTCCTTCTAAATCACCTACGATTTTACGATAATAGTTGAGCTCTTGAGAGCTTTTTTATTTCTGCTTTTATTGCTGCAATATTGCTGGAAAGCAGGGCTTCTGGCAACTGAGTCTTTGAGGCTTGGTCCTGACTGGGGAGGGGGGTGTTAGTCGCACATCTCTTTAGGGCTCAGATCTCAAGTGGCTCTTGTCACCCTTGGATCCACCCAGGCTGGAGTGAGCCCAGGACTTACCTGTTCACAGCTGTCCCCACCCTAGAAGAACCCCACCCCCATGCTCTTGCATCCTCAGGCCTTGGCTTCTTGGGAATATACTAAAAACATTGAGTTGTACACTTTAAATGGGTGGATTGTGTGGTTTGTGAATTGGATCTTGATAAAGCTGTTAGGGAAAAAAATGTCCATCTCAGTCAAGGACCGTTACTCCAGCACACCCCCCACCCCCACCCCTGCCCTCCGCCCTGCCTGGTCACGGTCTGTTCTGCTTGTACATCCGTCTACCCACTGGACTGGGGACCCTGCGGCAGGGACTGGTTCACCTACATCTGGGCAGACAGCCAGGCCTGGAGGAGCTGCTCATTTCCTGCTCGTGGGGCTCACCTTTGCCATGGGGTTTCTTTGCTTTTTAGGGGAATTTGAAAAAGATTCTGCTGAGTACTTGAAGCATCTGGAACCTCTGGAGGAACAGGAAGGTCAGAATTTGAACAAGGTGGAGCCAGAGGAGGAAGCTGGGGGCCCCAATTCACTTCTGCTTGGAGGTCTGATTCCAGAGAAGAGTTTTGCTTCATTCGACTTGTGTTTCTTGCAAGAATTTATCTTTAAACTGCTGAAACGTGAGTAAGAGATTTCAGCAGCTCCCTGCATTTTAGTGACCTGAGGTCTTATAATCCTGGTCAGAGTGATGCACTGTTAGTCTGTTTCTGTTGTTTATAGCAAAACACCTGCAACTGGGTACTTTGTAAGAAAAAAATTATTGCTTACAGCTTTGGAGGCTGGGTAGTCCAAAGTCTAGGGAACACGTCTGGTGAGGGTCTTCTTTGGTGGTGGCTTTACAGCAATGCAGGGGTCTCACATGGTTCTTCTTTGGTGGTGGCTTTACAGCAATGCAGGGGTCTCACATGGTTCTTCTTTGGTGGTGGCTTTACAGCAATGCAGGGGTCTCACATGGTTCTTCTTTGGTGGTGGCTTTACAGCAATGCAGGGGTCTCACATGGTAGAAAATGACGGAGCAGAGAGAGAGAGAGACTCTCATGTCCTCTTCTTTTAAAGCCCTCAGGACCATGCCCCTGACCACCATTTTTAATCCATTCACTACTGCATAGTGAATCCAATCACCTCTTTGAGACCCACCTTTCAATTACCATAATAGGATTTCCCACCCTTGACAGTTATAACAGGGGGTTAAGCTTCAGTGAGGTTGGGGAAGGGTGATCATCCAATCTGTAGCACCTACGTAATAGGTTAAAATATTAAGTGGGCCAAAAAAGAAAAGTTGCAGTCTAGGGGAGTAACAGTAGTAAAAATTATAATTGGGGCCGACCCCATGGCGCACTAGGGAGAGTGCGACGCTTGAGTGCGCAGGAGCGCTCCTGCCGCAGGTTCGGATCCTATATAGGGATGGCCGGTTTGCTCACTGGCTGAGCGCGGTGCGGGCAACACCAAGCCAAGGGTTGCGATCCCCTTACCGGTCACAAAAAGGACAAAAAAAAAATTTATAATTGGATGAGGAACAACCAAGGGTGTTCAGTGAGTTCTAAGAACTTTACGCTAATGACCTCTTTGAATTCTCCTAAGAGGACTGAGGTAGGCAATGCTATCACTTCCTTTTAAAGATGAAGAAAGGGCAGCACAGAGAGGTTAAGTAAGTTGTTCAAGGTTACACAGCTAGTAAGTGGCCAATCTTTGCTTCTAATCCAGGCCGTCTTGTTCCAACACCTGTCCTTCACTGCTTCCCAACAATGTTAACGATGTAAATTTGCACATACAAAAATCCATACCAACGTTCATGGTGGTTATCTCTGGCAGGCTAGGTAGGGTCTTTATGTTCATCTTTATTCCTTTCTGTGTCTGCCACATTTTCCCCAATGGATAGATGTCACTTGTATTAGAGGAAGAAACAAACACTATTAAAAAGAATTTAAAGAATGACCTGCATATATGGGGGTCCCAGCCATTGCCTGTGTAAGGTAGGTAACAGCATCACCTCCTGCCTGAGTGTGAGCTAACAGTATAATGCTCACCAAACTGAGACGGTGTCCTGAGACCAAACAATGAAGCAGGCAACTCCGTATGGTTTACAAGGAGTTGTTTATTATTATTATTATTATTGACTGATGATTATTTACAGGGAATGGATTGAGCACAGAATCAATCTAGGTGCTATGCAACTGCTTTCTCTGCAACCCCAGAGGGGACGAGTTGAAGCTCATAAGGGACTCAGAGACAAAAGTGGAGCTATGCCAAGGCTGTGGAAATGGGAGATTCCCAGGCACCTTGTAGCCACCTGTTGCTTATCCGTGGGGTTGCTGGAGTCATTCCCCTTACCTTACACAAGCATAGCATTCTGTTCCTTTCCCTTCCTCAGTTGCTAAGCAACTTGTGCAACAGAAAGAGCATAACTATTGAAGCTAGAGCTCTGAAGGCCATGAGGATGGAGTGAGTTCTGACCAGTAAGATGAAGAAAGTGCAGCACAGAGATGTTATGTCACTTGCCAACAGTTGCACAGCTAGGGAAGAGAAGATTTGGGATTGGAAAAAACAGAAAATGATAGCCTTCTCTTGCCTTTCCTTCCAGTAAAGGAATTTGAGCTCAGAGAGCTGAAGAGGACTCTAGAAAGAGCTCAAGCAGAGCAGGAGGCCCTGCAGAGGCAGCTGGTGGAGTTCCAGGTGATGTGTGTGGGTGCGTGAGCCAGGAGTGCAGGGAGGGAAGTGCTCACATCACCTATCTGCACAGCCCACTCCTCAGCTCAGGGCCCCTCCTGCAGTGTTCAGGAAGCAAAGGATGGAGAGCATATGGTCCATGTAAAATAATGCTTTGCAAATCCCAGTGCCGCTTGCCTCCCCAACCATGCATGCCAGAATACGTTTGGCATGTGTCCTTCCAAAATACAATGTTCTGTCCCTTTTTGTCTCTGGTGTACAGAAATTTGTGCTATGAGCCTCTTGTGTTGCTTGTTGTTTCACTCCACGCTGTTTCATCCACAGTGGCATCCCGCCTGTTACTTCTCACTGGCAGCTGCACCCACCACATGTGATGGGCCCATTCCCTCCTGGCAGGTGCCCAGTTCGGCCCAGCTCCCCACAACTGCAGCTAAGGGCGTGATAAATATACTTACACGTGCTCTTTTATGGAGCCATGGGATAGGTTCTGTGGACTACACACCACAGAGCAGGGTTGCCTGGCCATGGAGAGTGTGGCACTTTTTAGTGGCAAGTCTCTGTAGATGTGAGCCCTGACAGGTGGTGCCCACTAACGACAGCAAGGAGAAAATGAGGGGAACCATGCATGCAGTGACATTTTGAAAACGTGTTGTTTTAGCCTGCTTATGAAATTAATGTATATTTATTGAAGGAAATTTTGAAATTTCAGAAAAGTTTATGAATAAAATTTAAACCAATCATTAGAGAAGCATTGTTAACATTTCATTGTAGCATCTTCTAGTCTTGTATAAATACCTAAATCTAACCATCTATTTATCTCTATAGATACAGTCATGCCTCACTTAAGGATGAGGATACCGAGAAATGTGTCGCTAGGTGATTTTGTTGTGCAAACATCAGCGTGTGCTTACACAAACCTAGGTGATATAGCCAACTACACACCTAGGCTACATGGTACAACCTGTTGCTTCTAGGTGACAAACCTGTGCAACATGTTACTGTCCTGAATACTGTAGACAACGGCAACACAGTGGCCAGCATTTGTGAATATGTTGTAAACATGCGTCAGCATACGTTTAGATACCTGAACATATCTAAACATAGAAAAGGTATGGTAGAAATGCAGCCTTATCATCTTATGGGACCACTCTCATATGAGCAGTCCATTGCTGAAAGAACATCTTTACGCAGTGCATGACAGTAAACGTATCAGTACATCCATATGTCTGCATATTTAAATAAATACAAGGTTACTTCAAAAAGCTTGTGGAGGGCCGGCCTGGTGGCACAATGGAGAGTGTGCCGCTTGGGAGCGTGGCGCCGAGGGTTGGGATCCCATGTGAAGACCGGTTCCCGCTCACTGGCTGAGCGCAGTGCGGGCGCAGCGCCGAGGGTTGCGATCCCGTTGCTGGTCCCCGGTACGGGTGCGACACCGAGGGTTGCGATCCCGTTACCGGTCAGTAAAAAAGACAAAAAAAGCTTGTGGAGAAATGGAATTAAAAGATAATATGAATCTTCCCGTGAACTTTTTGAAGTAGTCTCATGTGTCTCTGTAGATAAACGGAGGTAGAAAGGTAGAGAGAGATATAGGGAGACAGATACACAGGGAGACAGAATCAGACTAAACCACGCAGTTTTGACCCCGTGGGTTCTGGTTTCATTACAGCACACGCATCTTCACGTCTCTGTCAACACTTCTTTACGAACTGCCTCTTGTGGCTGCATGACATTTCACCATGTGGATGAACCACAGTTGACCCCCCATTTCCCTGTTGTTGGGCATTCTGGTCACATCCAGCTGCCGTGTTATAAATAACTCTGTGCTGGACATTCTTGTCTGTGCAGCTCTGCGCTCACCCCCGCTGGCTCCCTTAGCAGGGGTTCCTAGAAGTACAGTGATCACTGCACACATGCCAGCCTTTCTGAGGCCTGCCAAAGGAGGTGGCATCTGCAGTGGTCAGGACCCCAGGCTTGACACCTGGGGCTGGAATGCTGGCAGCGGCCTAGCAGCTGTGTGCATGGACACACACAGCGTATCACCTGGGGATACCCTCAGGGTCTGCCCTTACATGGTGTCTTGGACAATTAAATGAACCGATTCTCGTGAGGCACTTAGACCGGTACCTGGCAGGGCACTTGGCACTCAGGGGATGTCACCTTGGATCACAGTCACAGCAGCATCCCCTGGAGGGCTGGCCTACTCATGTCCCCTCCAACAGGCCCTTCATCCTGGACGTTTGTGCATCCCAAATTCCATTGAAACTCCTTTTTCCTTTGAATGTAGCTTTATTCCTTTCTCTGCAACTTGTTAAACAATTCTGAAGAGGAGGGAATGTTAAATTTAAAAAAGAAAGCAAGAAAGAAAACACCCAGCTTTCCAAAGCCATCACCCAATGGACACCTGACATAGGTCCCACAGGGCTCCTCGGGGTTTGACATGCTTAGCAAGGAGCCTTACCTGGCTCAGCTCTGCAGACAGCTATGCCCCCTCCCTCTGAGGATGACACTCAGGATGTTGGAGGGTCAGAGGTGGCAACGGGAGAGGGCCTGGCAGACAGCTCCCAAGCCAGTGGGCTGGGGCTGTCGGGAGCCCACACCCTGCAAAGGCAGCCCTCACCCCGGGGGTCTGCCTCACATCTTGGCTGGGCTGAGCCTGATTTCCAACTGCACAGCCCTGATGAGGACCTCAGCTCCCCTTCCTACTGGGGGGTCTGGCAGGTCACTGATCCCCTCAGAACCTTGCTTACCTGGCCTCCCCAAGGGTTTGGTGAGATACTGAGCTTTACGTGATGGGCCCAGCACAAAGTAGCAAGATGTTAACAAGGTGGGGGTGGGTGGGCAAGGCTGTTCTGCTTCCTGGAGACCAGGCGGAGAGAGGGGGTGTTTGTGGATTCTGCATGTGCCCTACAGGACAAGAAGCCTTTGCATGTTTGTTTACTTGTTTACCTATGTTATTTTCATGTGTACTTATTTTCCTACTTACGTGCTTATTTACTTTCAACTTTCTGGCATATGTATTTATTTACTTATTTGTGGATTTACTTCCTTATGTCTGTATTTACTTACTCACTTTCCTATTTCCTCGCTCGTTCATTCACTTGTGTACCTTCCTGCACGTCTCGCTCCCAGCCCAGGGCCAGCTGGCGTGAACATCTCTCTGTTCCTTTCAGAACCAGCAGCAGAGGCTGGAGGTGGAGCTGATGGGCCTGAAGACCTACGGGGTGGTCCTGGAGCAGGAGTTTGAGAACCTCAACATGGTCCTGATGCTGTCGCACTTCGGCCTGCATGTGATGGACACAGGTGAGCTGGGCCATCTAAGAAGGTCACTGTCCCCCTCCCCTCTCTCCTGCCACACATCTCCTCCTGGCCGTCAGTGGTCCACAAGAGCAAGGCCCTGGAGACCCCTGTCTGTCCATGCGCTTATTCATGCAGACGTCACTCTTTTCTTCACTCAACAAGCATTCCCACATGACCAGTGCATCCCAGCTCTTGCTGGGGAAGTGGCGATGCACAGTGATATGGGCCATCCCTCGTCCAGCACCCATGGGTGCCAGGCCCTGAACTGGGCACCAGAGTGGGGGATGCAGAGATAAAGGAGCCCCTGACCACAAGCTGTACGCAGGGAACGGGACTGTCGGGGTGCAGTGCGCTGGAGGGAGGGGGATCTGCCTCCATGGACAAGGGGCCATGGGCACTCAGAGGGGACACAGTGATTATCTGGGAGGCCAGCTCACAGAGGACCAGATAAGGACAAAAGCGTCTCACTGGGCCCAGGAGGACAGTTACCAACTCCTTTATCACAGAGGGGGCAGCAGCAGCACACAGGTGGGAGGACCCACGTGTGCAAAGGGAGGGAGGTTGGAAGGCAGAGCGAGAGGGCTCAGGCAGCAGACGGCCAGTTCCCGAGCGGTACAGGCGGGGCCTTCTGTTTTGCCAAAAGCTTTTGCTTTCATTTAGGTTCAAAGGATTCACTGGTAAAAGAAACCACTGGTCACACTAATAAGCCAGCTTATGATACTTATTAAGATACAGCAAAGTAAGGAATAGATGATATATATGAAGTAAGCAAAGAGAGCAAGATTATGCAGGTATATTAAGAAGAAGAAAGAAAAGATTTAAACATTGTTTACACCACCAAATTGGGGAAACACCTGCATCCAGATGCAAGCAGTGCCGGGAAGTCCCGTAAACAGCGATCTGTTGTCCCAGTGGGGCTTGTCCCGGGCAGTGCGTCCCCTCCATGGGTGAGACTTGAGACAGCGGTTTGGGGGAGTCCTGCTTCTATCACGCAGCTGCAGACTGGTAACGTTAGCCTGTGTGCAGACGTGCAGCTGTGGTTATCTTGTTAATGGTTGCAGCCTTTCTCACAAGTCATCGGGACGTTCTTCGGCTCTGGGAACTGGCCAGGTTCCCAAGGTCCCAGAAGCTCCAGGACTTGCTTTCCTTCTTACCTGACCGTTACCAAGCACCTGTCCCGTCGGCCTGCACACAGTCTCTGAGTCTGGCACAGCCTATGCAGGGACATTCTTCAGTCAGAGGCCCAGCCATGCCTCTGAAGCCTGAACAAGACCATAAACCTTAATTTTCCCTTCCTGGTCTCTTAAACAGCGAAGCTGAAGCCCAGGCCCCTGGCAGTGAGAGGCGTGGGTGGGTCCTTCTGCTTCAGAAACCTCCCCCTTACCTTGAGTGGGAGCCTTTGCCCTGGGTGATCTCTGCGGGCACTTGTGTGCAGACCTAGCATACAAGGGAAGAGGAAGCGGCACTTTATATAGTCCAGGGGCCAGGGCCAGGGTCGGTGCCCTCCCTCACAGGCTCGAGGGCTGCTGGGGAAGGAGGATTAAGCAGACGTGGGTCTCACTGGATATGGGAGGCGGGGAGGAGGCGCGTTCTTTGGTGTGGATAAACCCACAGCCCCCTACTCTCTTCCTTGGGGCAGCTTCTTGCTTATCTTGTGACTGGGCTCTGTTTCCTGCATCTGTGACATCAGCAGCTCTGGGGAGCAGGTGGAGGATGCTGGCAGTATCGATTAGTGTCCAGGTACATTTGTGTGAGTGTCCTCTCCAGAGAAGTTGACGGAAGGTGCTCACCTGGTACCTGGACAGTGTGATGTGAAAGAAACCTGGCTTTCAGGAAGCCCTGATGGATAATTGCCTCCAAAATTACAAATGCATCCGGCATTGAGTAATGTCCAGAAAGCAGCCTTGCCGGTTCAGCTTCTCCTCAGCTCCAGCTGCTCTCTGCTTCCTGCAGTTCCCTCTCTGGCCCGCTCATTCAGTTCATCCATCCGGAAGTGGACTTCTGAGCGCCTACTGTATGCCAAGCCCTGGGCTTGGTGCTAGAAGTCCAGAAATTAAAGGAGACATTTTATGACTCACAGAGCTCCGAGTCTCAGGGTTGGCACCCAGGTCACGCGTCGGGGCTGTGGGTGAGATGGAGCCCTCCGGGGGTGAGCAGTGGAGGTGCCGGGCAGGGCCTTCCTCCTGGGCCAAGGTGGGGAGCAGGGGCTTCATCCTTCAAGGGCCCATCATGGGGCAGCACAGGCCTCTGCCTTCTGTCCCATCCCAGCACATGATGGGTCTGCAGGAGCGTTTGGGACGAGTGCGCGTGAATGAAGAGCGGTTAGGGTTCGTGTGGAACACCCCTGTGCTCTGTCAGCATGGTCCTGGCAGTAACTCTTCCGCTCTCCCTGCCCACTCTACAGCCTAGAGCAGCGCCTGCCTCAGCACCATTGGGGACCTCCGGACACCTTCCAGGCCCTCTGAGGGCGGCCGCCATAGAGACATCTCTCTCAATGGAAGAAGGACAGAAGGTGCTGGGGCCTCGCAGAAGGGACATCAGATGGGTCCACTGACCGAGGAGATAATAAATCATGTCTGTGCACGTGTGTGTCTGAGCAACAGACTCAGCCTGTCTTTGTGCCTGGGCTCAGCAGCGTGTCCACACCGTGAATATTCCTACCATGGGCTGCCTGCAGTCGGGCAGCTTTGACTTGGGGAGATTTGGGTGGAGTGCTTGTGCCTTTCCACGTCTGACATCCCTCAGCACATGCCTACTCACAGAGGACACAGGCACTGAGCGGCCCCCAGGCGACCGGACCACCTCTGGCCATGACCCCTCCCTCTTGTGGTCTGTCTCTGTGACCTGGGCACGCTTCTGTCTCCTCGTCTGAATTGTAAGGACAATATCGTTGCTTGTCAGCCTCAAAGGATGGGCTGAAGATCAAGTGACATGATCACCTTGTCCAAGTTTGGGTCCCCCAGAAGCCAACCCTGAGATCAGGATTTGTGTGCAAGTGGGCTGTTTGGGAGGTGATCCCAGGTAGAGGAGCAGGGCAAGAGAGGCAGCCATGAAAGGGTGTGTTAACCAAGCATGGGAGCTAGACCCCTGGGGACCCAGGGAGCCAGTGCAGGATGTGCCTCTGAGAGCCGCCCAGCCTATGGCGAGGGAGCTGGGTATTGACCCACCGACTCCCTTCAATCATTGCTGGAGGATGGTTTCCGGGAGAGGTTGATCTTTTTTCTTCCAGTCTGCTGCACAGGTGCAAAGTGGACACAGAAAGCTGGAAGAGCCCTGGGGCAGGGAAACGCAGTGCTGCAGTTGGAAGGCCGCACCCTGGAGTGGTGAGAGAGGGGTTTGGTGGGGTGCCAGCAGCATCCGTTGTAGGACTGTTATACCAAATGGGGCAGCAGGCATGTCATGGTGTTTCTGATACTGGGGGGCACTAAGGTCCTGTCTGTGGCTCCCCAGAATCTTGTTACCAAACCTAGGTCCAGCTGCCTGCCTCCAAATAAAAACAAACAACCCAAAAGTCAAATTGTTGGTGAAAATGGAAAGCATTGATGCTCAATTTTCTGATTGAAAAAGTCTTTTCTTTTCATTGGTCCCTTGGTACTAGGAAGGCTCATTCCCAGGTAGTCATGTCCCATGTCAAGGGGAAAGATACAACAGCAGTTAGACCAAATTAGGGCAACACAAAGTGTGGTCAGGAACTCAGAAGAGACACGCTACCTTATAACCAGTCTTTCCAATTGTATCCTGTTGTAAAGAGAGAGCAAATTCTTATTGCACTTATGCAAATAACCATATTGCCATAAAAGTCATAAGGATACTCACAGTCTTCAAATTTTGAAGTAATCAAATAGAGGAAAAATACAAATTTTTCCATCTTTGTTCATAAAAGTATATGTTACCAAATTGCTGTAAGTGATAGAGAGCTTAAGAGAGTAAAGATTCCTTAAATCTACACAAAACATTTAAGAACCAACAGTGAAAGTTACAAAACTTTCAGTTATTTAACCACATGTAATTAATTTTTGCTTTGTTGGATCTTAATTAGCAGTTTTATAAACCCATCTGATGTCTTATTATTTTGCCCATTGATTTGAAAGTTATTTGAAACCTGTGTTTAAGAGTATTTCTTACAGTCTTTTCTATGACTCCAATTGTAGATGCCTGTAGAGAAAAATCAAAACTTCTTGCAATTTTACTAAGAGCAGATCCATATTTTAAGAAAAACTTGTTCTAACATAGGGGACGTTTAGTTCTGTATCAGTGTCTTTTTAATATCAAAGCTCAGTCTTTAGAAAGACTTAGAAATAATTCCCTTTTAATTATAGCCAGCTTAATCACACACAAAATTCGTTCATAAATTCACCCTTCATGAACCATTTGATGACTTGCTCAGACATTTCTACAACGTGCTTTAGACTTTCTGTTCTGTTCCTCTTTCCTAAACATTTTGCTTTAGGACAGAAATTCACCACACAAGACGCTTTCATACACACACGTCTTCTCTTTCCTTTTTAACCTTTTTAACCACAACTACAATTCCACATCCACAGCTTTCTTCACATTTCTCTCTCCTACTTACTTATTACTTTCTATCAATAATGCTAAATTAGCCTCATTTATCTAAAAATTGCATAATCAAAGATCATTCTGTTTTAGTCTGGGTTTATAATTTTAACTTTAAAAACCTCTAGCGGATACAAATATAATCCTGATGGACCCGTGAACACAGGCAAAAATATATGCTGATAATTCTGAAGACATTCTCACAGCATTCTGATTTTCAAAAAAAATACACTTTTACCTATTTTCCCCCTTCAGTTTCAGTTTCAAATGACTTTAGAGTAAAATTCTCAAATATTTACATTTAGCTAGGACTGGCTACATTATCTGAGAAAAACAAAATCTCCAAGTGGCTTTGATTCTTTCTAATGCGCTCTTTTTTTCTTTATTTTGGCTGGAATGCCATAAACTGAATGAGTTTATGTTTTAACACTTGCAGAACTGTGTGCACAGACAGACAAATTTTGTGCAGAGATTTGGCCAGTTATAACTTTCTGGATCACAGTTTGTTTTTCAAGCTTGCCAAGACAAACTTAAAAACAAACAAACTCATTTTTGGTCATCAGGTTTTTAATGACCAAAAGGCACAAACTTAGTTACTCAAACCCAAACAGACAGAGCTCTTCCAAACAAACAAACAAAATGGTGGCTTTTATGTCCTCGAGTCATATATCACACCCAAACGGTACCTTTAACACCCAAATGGTGTAGATAAGAGGACTCCCAGTATGACTTAGCAGCTCAGAGCCTGTTTTTATGTTTTTTTTTTTTCCTTTTTTGTCTTTTTTACTGACCGGTAACGGGATCGCAACCCTCAGTGTCACGCCCGTACCGGACCGGGGACCGGCAACGGGATCGCAACCCTCGGTGTTGCGCCCGCACCACGCTCAGCCAGTGAGCGGCCGGTCTGTATGTGGGATCCGAACCCTCGGCGGGAGCGCCGCCGCACTCCCAAGCAGTGCACTGTAGCAGTGCGCCACCAGGCCGGCCCTATGGCTGTTTTTTTACAACAAAAGCCAACTCAGGTAGTCGCAGTTGCAATAGAGATCTTATAGCTGGCTAAACCTAAAATATTTGCTCTCTGGCCACTCACAGCCAATGCCTGGTCTAGAGGGTTACGTCTGTGAATGTTCACACTCGGCTGCTGGAAGGAAAAGGGGGTTCATCGTAAGTTGAGGGAGCTGGAGCCGAGCATCTGCAGGAACCAGAGATCTCCTCCCAGGCCCCTGGGCCCTCCAGGGAGGTGGCAGCTCCTCCCTACCCACTGCCCTGCCATCCCTGTCTCATGCCAATGCCTGTGTCTTTCTTTTCCTGCACCGGGCCGGCCCTCAGAGCCTGTTGACCCCTCACTAAAGCCGCCTTCTTTCACCAGCCAACAGGCGTGGAATCAGTGGTTAACACCACTGCTGGAACATCAGGAAAAGTCCCCAAAGTCCCACCCGAAGGACTGGCCTAGCACAGGCAGCTGGCACCCACAGGTACGCCCAGCCTCACTCCCATAGAAGTTTTGGGGGCACCTAGGCCACACAGGGCATCCAGTTCTTGGCTTTGCTTGCCAAAATCTGATACTGGGGGGCACTCAACTCTTGCCTGAGGTTCTGCAAAATCTTGTTACCGAACCCAGGCCCATCTGCCTGCCCCCAAATAAAAACAACCCAAAAGCCAAATTGTTGATGGAAATGGAAGTCAGTTTTTATTCAGGAATACCAGTGACCTCAGGAGAGATGTTAGGCTAAGCCATGTCCAGTAAACCTGACGGGGAATGGCCAGACGAAAGCCATCTCGAAGACTGAGGGGTTTTTATAGAGGGGGCTGAGGAATGGAACGTGAGAAATGAAAAGCAGGAGGGAGGGGGACGTGACCTTCAGGGGCTCCACGCAAGCAGCAGGGAACAAGACCCCACCAAGGCTCCGTCTGGTCTCTGCTCCGTCCCCGCTGTTATCTCAGGGTCCTGATTGAGGGTGGAGTCAGCACAGCTTTACGGATGTCCTCCTTGGTTTCTCGGGGTCTGGATGGTACGTGTCTTGTAGCAAGTCTGCAGCTCCAGGCTGACTGGAAACAACTTCACATTCATGTAAATGATGTCATCTTGCCCTATAACAAGGTTCAAAATATCAAATATCCATGGGAGAAACAGGAACTCAGAGAAATGCATGCTAGGAAGAAAACTGTGTGTTTTTAAAATCTTTTAGAACCCATGTGGTTTTAGGTCCCAACATGGCTTCAGTCCTGCTCACTCCAACAGTTCCTGTGCGGTGCAGGGGTGCAGATGTCAGGGTCCGGGTCAGCTGCCTGCAGCAGAGACCCAACCACAGGTGGCCTCATCACATAACAAAAGCCCTGCCCTGGCACTCCGGGCAGGCAGGAGGCAATGGGGAAGGGCAGAGGCGGTGCCCACTGCTCTGCCTCCTTTTAATGTGCCTCCAGAAAGCCCCCTCCATCTCCCTCCACTTGCATCTCAGGGACCACAATGGCACTGGCCACTCCCCGCTGCAAGGGAGGCTGGCAAGTGTAGCTCTGCTGAAACGTGGCTGTCCTGAGCAAAACTGGGGTTGGTAGGGAGGAGGACGGGAATGGAAGAATAGTGGGAGGGCAGAGGGTGGCATCTGCCACCCTGGGTGCTGTTTCTGTAGGAGGAGAGCAGCTTGTTCTGATCTTGGGCAGGAGGAGCCCCAGCATCATTCTGTCCCCATCTGCGGGGATGACAGTCACACTGGCATTGTGGAAGGCCTGCTCTGTGCCAGGCAGGCGTGTGGCACACGTCATTTTGTGTCATGCACACAACACCCTTGTGAGGCAGGTGTAGTTGAGCCGTTTACAGATGGGGAGGGAGAGGCCAGCACTCGTTGGAGTGCACGGTGGTGCACGTCGTGTTTCCATCACAACCGCGCCTGGTGGAAATCCCAGCTCT